CCCCTTGCCCTGCACTTCCGTTGCTGCGCCTGGCCCGTGAGGGCCCCGACCTCCCCCTACGAGTGGCACCGGGGTACAGCCCCTGCCCCAGCAGCTCAGTCGGGTTCAGATGGGTCACAGGGCCTGCCCGCTGTGGTCAGTGGCTGGAGTGGCTGGAGCCCTGTGGACATGCTGAGCTCTGGTCCTAGGTGTGGCCTCCACTGTGGGGGGGCTGTGGGGGCTGCACCTGCCACTCGTGAGGACGAGCTTTCGTGTCCCAGGCACGAGGCCTCACGGTCACACAGCCCCACCCGGGCCCAGCAGCCAGGACGTGGCCTTGCTCCAGAATCCAGGTGTCTGTGTGGACTTCTCCGTGGGTGTGGGGGACCCCACCCAGTGTCCACCCCCCCCCCCCCGCCAGCCCTCCGAGGCCTGGGCCTGTCCTGAAGCCTCTCCCGCTGAGGGTGGTCCCACCAGAACGTGCTCAGTGGTTGTCCTGCCTCCAAGCCCACAGCCCACGGTGGGGAGCGAGGCCGCAGCCCAGACCGTTCACACCGCCAGACTGTGTCGTCTCACATGTTGCATCGCCACCTGGAGTTCAAGGAAAGGTCATCTCGCTCTGGACACCGCCTCCCGGGGAACGGACGTGAGCGGACGCCCCCGGTTTGTGCGAGACCCATACAGTCTCCACACCCGCTTTTAAAAGGGCAGCGTGAGAGGAAACGAAAAACACCGTGAAGTCACTGGGAGGACCGTGTGAGAAAGGGCGGCCGCAGCCACGCCCGCCGTGGCGGAGACGCAGAGCTCTGAGCGGCACTGGCCGAGCCCAGCGTCCTGGGAGGAAGGCCGGCGGCCTCGGGCGGGCTCTGCCTCCCAAAGTCCGTGTGGAACTTCACGAGGTCCCGTCAGGGCTGCAGGGAAGGCGCCCAGTGCGTGTAGGTTTTGTGCACGATCCCAGCCATTAGCAGCCCAGGAGTTACTGACCCGACGAAGGCACTTGCCACGAGCTCCACTCGACGCCCTGGCGCCGGCGGCATTTGGGAGGAACAGCCTCGAAGCCAGAGGCCCGTGAGGCCTGAGCAGCCGTCCTGTGGTGCTGGGCGGCCGCCCGTTTGCAGCGAGAGGCGTCCCTCCTGCGCAGGCTGCCGGCGGGCGCCGGGGTCTGAGTGTGCGGTCCCTCCGGGAAGCCGAGGCGTGCCTTTCTCACGCGGATCCCAGCCTCGCTGAAGGCCAGGGAGACCGGGAGGTGGGGCTGCTCTGCTCCTTGGCGCGTGGGCACAGCCCCCAGCTGACCTGCAGACTCACGGCGGTTCCAGTTACCATAGCGACGACCTTGCTTCTGTCTGGGAACTTGACAAGCTGCTTTTACAATTTACCAGAAGGAGAAAGTGCCGCTGGAGGTGGGGTGGGACCCGCAGTGGGTGGGACCTCGATGTGCGAGGGCTGGGCTGCAGGCTGGTGGGGAGGAGCCAGCCTCCCGTAGCTCACACTGCAATCACGGGCAACGTGGGGAAGCCAACATCGGATCTTGGCTCACACCATTCACAAGAATCTATTTCAAGATGACAAAAAGACTTAAATATAAGAGGCAGAACTTATAAATATATTTTTATTGATTTCAGAGAGGAAGGGAGAGTGAAAGAGAATCATCAATTGGCCGCCTCCTGCACGCCCCACACTGGGGATCAAGCCTGCAACCTGGGCCTGTGCCCTGACCAGGAATTGCACCGTGACCTCCAGGTTCATAGGTCGATGCTCAACTACGAGCCACGCCGGCCCAACAGGAGGCAGAACTTTAAAACTCGGAGAAGAAAATGCAGGAGAACATCTAGAGCAGCGGTTCTCAACCTGTGGGTCGCGACCCCTTTGGTGGTCGAACAACCCTTTCACAGGGGTCGCCTAAGACCATCCTGCATCTCAGATATTTACATGACGATTCATAACAGTAGCAACATGACAGTTATGAAGTAGCAACGAGAATAATGTTATGGTTGGGGGTCACCACAACACGAGGAACTGTATTAAAGGGTCGCGGCATGAGGAAGGTTGAGAACCACTGTTTTAGGCCTTGGGATAGGGACGGCTTCGTTAAGCCAAATGGAAAAGCACCGTCCTCCCTGGAGAAAACACTCCGTGTATCAGGGGAGGAAGGGCCGTCCGTGCGCGGAGGACCCCTCGCTCTCCGTTCCTGCGTGGGAGCCGGTGCCGTGGGCCCAGCGTGTCGTTAACTTCCTTCGGGCCGTGTGTGCGCACATGTGCTTACACGTAGTCTCTTCCATGTGGTCTGTTCTACGGCTTTTAAAATCCAATGGTCTGAATAATCCCGGCAAAAAGACGAAAGCTGCCATTTGACAAATCAAACAAAAAATCCAGGCTGCTCCGCCCGCCGATGGCACCATGGCCTCGCTGATCCGTCCTTGGACTCGGGAATCTAATCCCGATACAGGGACCGCGCTCCTGGGGCTCCTGCGTCCTCACGAGGGCGGTGCCGAGCGGCTGCCAGGAGGGGCAGGCAGGGTGCCTGCTGCGTCACAGACAGACAGACAAACAGGAGGCCTCCCCTCCCAGGCACAGGTGGCAGGCGGTGCGGGAGCCTGGAGGGCCCAGCGCCTGCCCCGAGCAGCTGGGCGCTCGGGCGGGTGCTTGTGGCTGTGCAGACCCTGCTTCCGACAAGCCCGCGGGGCGGCCGTCACCTGCGTGGGGAGGCTGACGGGGATGGAGAGCTCCCTGCCCACCTGCGTGGGCTCCGTCCTCCCGCGCTGCCCAGAGGCCCGCCGTCCCCGTGGCCTTTCTTTCCATCTGTGGTCACTTCATCTTGGTGAACGCACTGTTTTTCCTCCGGCAAAAATATTGGTGTCAGTTCCACCCCCAACTTAAAAACAAATCAGAGCCATCGCCCTGCCCAGGGCCCGAGGGAAAGCACCACAGGCGTGAAACTGACATTGATTTCTTTGCCTGGAAACAAAAAAATAAGTGTGTCATTTTGAATTTGCATTGCAAATAGGAATGCAAATGAACGCCACTGTCTGCATCACCCACCAAGTTCAAAACAGTGTTTTGATGCATTTTAAGCAAAATGCCCATTTACCCAAAGCTAAACCCCGGTGCCGCCGGAGTCTGCGTTCTGCTCGTGTTGATGATCATTTTCTCCTTTGTTTTCTGTTTTGTCCTTGACTCACCTTAACCTGCCTGCTGACTCACGCCATCCAACCAACACACTGCGAAACCATGTCTGCGTCTGTCTGTCTCGCCTGCTGCTCAAACACCCCAATTTGTAAATAATGTGCAAATGTTCATCCATGAAAACATCACATGTAGGAAAGGGTTGGTTTCATGACTTTTCACAGTTCTTACAGCCCCTCGCCTGGCTTGCTGTGCTGTCCGTCTGCTAGCCCGGCCCTGCCCTGCTCTCCCCGGGTGTGGTCACAGCCCAGCGCCCCTCCTCTGGCTGCTGCACGGTCTGGGCCAGCAGGGGCTCCGAGGGGCGGGAGTGTCCAGACTCTGAGTCGGGGAGGTTTGCAGGCGGTGGGTTTGGGCTAAGCCTGGTTGAGTCCATGGTTTCTGTGGCACATCAGCAGCAGGTGCAGGAGGCTGCTCTGCCCAGCGGCCCCTACGGAGTCTCCCAGGGGTCCTTCCTGAAGCAGAGCCCGCCCGGCCAGCCTGGGCGCAGGTGGGGGGACCGCCCCAGGAGACAGCCTGCTCTGGCTCGTCACCCAGGCGCCTCTGGTCTGAGGGTGCGTGCTGTTGGCCGGCAGGCCGTGGGGACTCGGGTGGCTGACGGGTCAGCCAGGTCTCCGGGACCATCTGGGAGGAGAGAGAGACTTGGGCAGGCCCAGCCGAGCTGTGACTGGCCGGTTGTGAGGCAGCGATGGTGCGCTGCCTGTAGCGGAGGGGGCGTTCGTGACGGAGGCCCCGGTCCGAGTGGAGACCCTGAGTCTTAGAAAATGGCTGGTGCTGCTCGGGCTCCCAGCAGCGTCTCCCACGAGCCGTGTGCGTGGGTCTAGACAGAGTGTCCGCCGTCATCAGGAGGAAGCGAGGTGAGGCCAGCAGGTGTGCGGGTCTCAGGCGGGCAGCCTTCGCCTCGCCGTGACCTGACCAGAGGCACTGATGTGCTGACGCAGGGACGCTGGCCCTGGCCTGGGCCGCCCGCCCCCTGGGTGGGGTGTGACAAGCGCATTGCTGTGCAGCCTCCTCACGACCCCCCAGGGCAGGGCTCCGAAGGTCTCCATCTCGGAGGAGGAGCCGGGGATCAGAGGGGCCGGACAGTGCGCCCCCAGGTGACGGTCTCCCCCATCAAGGGTGCGGGCCTGGCTCTGAGGTCGGTGTAGCTGCTCCCGGTGCCACGGAAGCCATGGACTCGGAGGATGGGAGGGGTGTCCACCTCCAAGGGGTGGCCGAGGCCAGAGGTGACCGTGCACGGCCGTGGGGAGGTGCCGCGGGCTGCCCCACCCTGCATGCAACCGGGTGGCGGTGCCTGGCGGCTCCTGCGGGTGCAGCCACAGTGCCGTCCCCGTCACGCGCTTGAGCGTCTGTGGCCGCTGTCACCATCTGTCCTCATGGCTCTCGGGCTGTCTGTCTGTTGCCACCCCCGCCCCCTGCACTGAGTGCCCTCGGAGCCCCGAGAAAGAAGCCTGGGAGGCGGGGTGGGAGCTGGAGTCCTGGGTAAGGGACTCGACCCAAAGCAGCTTGGTGACCAGCCCAGCCTCCTCTGTGCGCTCCCCTCTTGCCCCGAAGCTGGGTCTCCCCCGTGTTCCGGGAACTCGGCTACAGCTGCTGAGCAGGTCGCTCTGAACCGGGCAGGTGCGCCTGTCACCGCCGCCCTGGCCGCTCCCAACCCCACTGAGCAGGGGCTTCAGAGTGAGACCCCCAGGAGGCAGGCCTTTCCGCCCCGTCCGTGCTGAGCTGAGTCGCCCTGGCCTGTGCACAAAGCCCTACGTCCCATGGCCTCCTCCGGAGGAGACTGGCCCCCCTGAGAGCCCTCAGGCCCCTGAGGGGTCCCTCACCACTGTGCCCACTGGGGTCCCCCCGCACAAGCCAGTGAGGGGGCTGTAGGCAGCCTGCACCCCAGGGTCCCACCTGGAGTCCACTCTACCCCCTGCTGGTCTGGACCACAGCCGGCTCCTCCTCGTGCCCGCGGATGGCCCTCCCACCCGGGGGCCCTGTCCCCGCCTGTCCCTCACACAAGCCGGGTCCCACCAGCAGAGGCAGAGTCCCCGCCACTCTGTGGGAACCGGGGGTCAGCCCCTGCGGGGAGAGGATCAAGGAAGCACTGGCAAGGGGGTGGGGCCGCTGTCCCTGGAAGCCAGTGCCCCCCTGTCACCACTGATGGCCCCGAGCCCAGACAGGCAGCCTGGGGTGCGGCCGGCCTGCATGCTGCTGCCCTCGATCTGAGTCCCCTCCCTTCTCCCCATGGGCTCGGACCACCAGCCTGCCCGCGCCTCAGCGCGGTGGCGGGAGCCGCCTGGGCCGCAGCACCATCTGAGCACTGCCCAGCTGTGCCCCTGAGAGGGATGGGCCATAGCTCAGGCGCCCGGCCATGGAAGCCACACTCCCAGGCCACCCGTGGCAGCCGGAGGACGGGGTTAGACCTGCTTGTGGATGGGGAGGAGGCCTCTGTGGTGTGAGCGGCAAGACCACTGCACCCACACCTGGGGGGCCGTCTGCAGGAGGAGTGTCCCCTTTGCGGCCCAGCGGGCTCGGCTGCTGTGGGGAGGGGAGGGGGGCCCCAGCAGGGCAGGTGGCCCGGCCGCTCCTCTCTGTCCCTCTGTCGGGTGGTCGGTCTCTGATCTGCTGCATGAACTGATGCGATCACAAGCTTTCCTTTCCGAAGGGGCTGCTCACACTGTGCCGTGGTGACTTCATGTTCCTCTCCCTCTCCCCGCCTTTCCTCGGACCCCGGGCGCGGGGAGGGGTGGGAGGGGAGCAGCTCCTCGCAGGAGGCGGGTTCCGCGGGTCAGAGAGCCGCCTTGTTCCCGCAGAACAACTTCATCAACCTCAGCTTCCTGCGCCTGTTCCGCGCCGCGCGGCTCATCAAGCTGCTGCGCCAGGGCTACACCATCCGCATCCTGCTCTGGACCTTCGTGCAGTCCTTCAAGGTGAGCTGCCGCCCGGGTCCTCCGTCCTCCGTCCGTGCTCACAGGCTCCCGCGCGCAGAAGTGGAGGGCGCCGTGGGCCGCGGGGTGCGGGGGTGGCACTGCCCGGCTGACCCGCCTCCGTGTGCCCACAGGCCTTGCCCTACGTGTGCCTCCTGATCGCCATGCTGTTCTTCATCTACGCCATCATCGGCATGCAGGTGCGCCCCCGGCGTGCTCTGGCCACGGCAGCCCCTGCACCAGGGCCCCGGTCCACACGCAGCCGCCTCCACCGGCCTGGCTCCAGGAGCCGCCCGTGGCCTGCAGCTGCTCTTCCTTCCAGGTGTTTGGGAACATCGCCCTGGACGACGACTCCAGCATCAACAGGCACAACAACTTCCGGACGTTTCTGCAGGCGCTGATGCTGCTGTTCAGGTGTGTGCGGGAGCCCAGACAGGCTCCTTCCTGGTGCAGAGGCTGTGACCGGCCCGGCCCCCCACCTGCACCTGCACCCTGGGCTGTGCTGCTTCCTGACAGCCCACCTGCCAGTCCACTTCCTGCTGCGCTGTGGGGGGAGCTCAGGCCAGGGTGCCTTGCTGAGCCGCGTGGGGAGTTTCCGAGCGCTCTCTGCTTCCCACAAGCAGGCACCCGAGGGCGCCATTCCTCTGGCCTTCAGCTGGCCGCGCGCGCGCGGTACTCACTCACGTCCCTCCTGGGCCACAGAGGCAGCGCCCGAGGAGGTCGCCTGGGCTCGGAGGTCTCTCTTCCCTCCAGTCCTTGTGCCCCACGTGCACCCCTCGCCCCTGGCCACCATCAGTGGGGCGCAGCCAGCTTCACCCAGGGGACCCAAGGGCACAGAGGGCCCAGAAACAGAAATCGGTGCCGAGGCGCTTGCAGTGGCTGCTTGAGGGGGGCCCTGGGTGTTCAGGAAGCGGGAGGCTGGTGTGGCCAGAGCAGGTCGGGGGCAGGGAAAGGCGGGCAGCGGTCACGCGGCGCTGTGGGCGGGCATGTGGATCTGGGCTGTTGCCGTGACTGACAAGCTCTGACCTGTCTCGAAGGGACCTGCTGGGCGTTGGGCAGGGGAGCAGGGAGGTGTCAGAAGCCGTTGCAGTGACTCGGCTGCAGGGACGGGGACGCAGGCAGGAGCTGTCTCTGGGAGATGGGTCATCTGACCGGCAGGACGGGGTGAGGGAGACAGAGGCGGGTGGAAGGACAGGCCGCCGGGCTGGGAAGTGAGGGGCCCAGGGCTGCGGGGCTCGGGGGGCCACGGAGGGCATCAGCCTGGTGCTCCCGGTGCTGTTGGTCATTTGCAATGAGCAGTTGGAGAGTCTGGTGCCTGAGGGTCCTAGTCTAGCAGCAGCCATCTGTCCCCAGACCTGACAGCCACATGGGGTCTCTGGGTGGGGACCCAGGCCGTCGGGGCCGCCTCCTGGCCTCACGCTCCCTCCCCCCCAGGAGCGCCACCGGGGAGGCCTGGCACGAGATCATGCTGTCCTGCCTCAGCAACCAGAACTGCGATGAGCAAGCCAACGCCAGCGAGTGCGGCAGCGACTTCGCCTACTTCTACTTCGTCTCCTTCATCTTCCTCTGCTCCTTCCTGGTGAGTCCGGGCGCCGCGCCCAGCGGTGCCGCCTCCTTCTTGGTCCATCTCGGGGCCCCTACGTTCGTGATCCCTGGTTTCGATTCGTGCCACGCTGCAAGCTGATTCCTCAGAGACAACGCCCCGTTCACGTCACAGGAGTGCCCACCTGAGCCTCTGGAGAGGGCTGGGCTTCCCCGGGCAGCTGTCCCTGCGGTCTCAGCCGCTGGAGGACGCCCAGGGTGGCGACGGACACGGAGGAGCGGCCCCTGCTGGGGACGGGAGCAGGGGGACACGTCTGCCTGGCGTGTCGGAGCCCACGCAGGGCAGCGAGTGAGCAGGGACACAGGTGGCCGTGGGCACTGTCAGGAGTGGCAGCTACAGGTCAGGAGTGTGTCACAGGGGCATGTCCACAGCCATCGCCCTGGTAGGTGGTGAGGGGGAACGCAGTGCGGCCTCAGATGGGGAAACAATTAAAGGCGCCTCCAGGCCGCACTCAGCTCAGCGGGGTCTGCGGGACCAACCACCAACTGGGAACAATGGATTGGAAACGGCTGCTCTTCCCCGGACCCTGGGGGCCTGGTCCTGGGCTCCCGAAGATGCATTTGCAGAAGAATCCGAAGAAAGGCGAAGGCGGCTGGGCGGGAGCTCTGAGGCGCCCCCGTCTTCTGGGGCGGCCCTTCCCCGTCGGCACACCTCTCCGACTTCACGCTCGGGCGCTCTGACCGCTGCCATTTTTAAGCATCTGGCCCGAGCCGTGTCCCAGTCACAGGAGGAGGGGCTGAAAGCCACCAGAATCGGGCCCTTCAGAACTCGGTGGGGTGGGGGTGGAGAGCCCAGAGCTGCCGGCACGCACTGTAGCGATCCAGTGGATTTGTCATTAAGTTAAAAAACCTCTGCATCAAAAGACATCAGAGGGGACAGTATTTACAGCTCACGCACTTCCTAGGGGTTAGTTCAAAACAGAAAGAACCCTTACAGCTCAGCAACAAAGAGACAACCACGTGAAATGGGCAAAGAGCCCGGCCGGTGGGGCTCAGTGGTTGAGCGTCGACCTGTGAACCAGAAGGTCAGGGTTCGATTCCCCGTCAGGGCACATGCCGGGTTGTGGGCTCCATCCCCAGTGTGGGGCGTGCAGGAGGTGGCCGGTCCGTGATTCTGTCATTGATGTTTCTCTCTCTCTCTCCTTCTCCCTTCCTCTCTGAAATCAATACAAATATATGTTTTTATTTTTATTTTTATTTTTTTAAATATGTGTTATTGATTTTTTACAGAGAGGAAGGGAGAGAGATAGAGAGTTAGAAACATCGATGAGAGAGAAACATCGATCAGCTGCCTCCTGCACACCCCCCACTGGGGATGTGCCCGCAACCCAGGTACATGCCCTTGACCGGAATCGAACCCGGGACCCTTGAGTCCGCAGGCCGACGCTCTATCCACTGAGCCGAACCGGTTTCGGCGACAAATATATGTTTTTAAAAAGACCCTGAGCTCATGGCCTCCTGAAGGCCAGCTCTGGGGCGTGAGGGTGGGCGGGGAGGGCTGACCGGGACGGCGGGATTCGTGGGCTTGAGATGGTGGGGCCTGAATTAGGCCGGGGCTTGGAATCAGGACTAAATATGGTTAGTGTTAGACCTCTGAGGCTGAGGCTGCTGCTACTGGTGGTGGCATGTGGGGGGCCTCCAGGAGGAGTGGGGGGCCCTGGGGGGTGCAGGGGGCCTCCAGGAGGAGTGGGGGGCCCTGGGGGTGCAGGGGGCCTCCAGGAGGAGTGGGGGGCCCTGGGGGGTGCGGGGGCCTCCAGGAGGGGGCAGGGGCCCCGGGGGTGGCGGTGCAGGGGCCAGGCTGTGGGGAGAGAGGTCTGGGCAGGCTCTGGCTGATGGTTTCACAGGCTCTGGCTGGAAGGGGAGGCCCGGGAGAGGGCAGGCTGAGGTCTCTCCATGTCGCCTCTTCTCCTTCCTGTCCCGCAGATGTTGAACCTCTTTGTGGCTGTGATCATGGACAATTTTGAGTACCTCACGCGGGACTCTTCCATCCTAGGGCCTCACCACCTGGACGAGTTCATCAGGGTCTGGGCTGAGTACGACCCGGCTGCCTGGTGAGTGAGCCGCGCCCGTCCTCAGGTGGCCCGGACCCTGGGATGGGGTGGCTTCAGGCGTGTTTTGAGGGAATGTCCCCTCGGTTGTGGGGGCTCCTGCCCACGCGGAGGCGCTGGTCTCCGTCCCGGGCGGCTCCCTCTGGCCTCCCTGTGTGGAGGCAGCTCCCCCGGCTCAGGGACCCTCCGAGCCCCGAGCCCCGAGCCCAGCCCTGGATGGCGCGTTGCATGGGGGGGGGTCGGGGTCGCGCAGGCCCTGGAGGTCGGCGGGCAGCAGGGCGTCGTCCCTCAGGCTCCCTCGTCCTCCTGGGACTCGGAGGCTCCGAGGCTCCGTGGGCGGAAATGCCGGCCCAGGGCACCCCCCGCGCTGGGCTCTGCCTCCTGTCCCGCTGCTGCAGGGACAGGGCAAGGGGACCCTCTGTGGACGTCAGAGGAGCGGCCGTGGGGATGTTTCCAGGCAGAGCCAGGGTCTCAGGACGGGCCTGGCCCGGGTCAGAGGTGGTCCGAGACTGGTTCCTGGGAGAGCCCTGCCCGCCCACATGCGCCCTCCACCACACACGCCCTCCCCCATACACGCCCTCCCCCACGGCG